CAATACAATAACCCTATGTGATCAGTTAACATCAATACAATAACCCTATGTGATCAGTTACTATTAATACAATAACTCTATGTGACCAATTACCATCAATACACTAACCCTATGTGATCAGTTACCATCAATACACTAACCCTATGTGATCAGTTAACATCAATACAATAACCCTATGTGATCAGTTACCATCAATACAATAACCCTATGTGATCAGTTACCATCAATACAATAACCCTATGTGACCAGTTACAATCAATACAATAACCCTATGTGATCAGTTACCATCAATACAGTAACCCTATGTGATCAGTTACCATCAATACAGTAACCCTATGTGATCAGTTAACATCAATACAATAACCCTATGTGATCAGTTACCATCAATACAGTAACCCTATGTGATCAGTTACCATCAATACAATAACCCTATGTGATCAGTTACAATCAATACAATAACCCTATGTGATCAGTTACCATCAATACAGTAACCCTATGTGATCAGTTACCATCAATACAGTAACCCTATGTGATCAGTTAACATCAATACAATAACCCTATGTGATCAGTTACCATCAATACAGTAACCCTATGTGATCAGTTACCATCAATACAATAACCCTATGTGATCAGTTACCATCAATACAATAACCCTATGTGATCAGTTACCATCAATACAATAACCCTATGTGATCAGTTACTATCAATACAATAACCCTATGTGATCAGTTACCATCAATACAATAACCCTATGTGATCAGTTACCATCAATACAATAACCCTATGTGATCAGTTACCATCAATACAATAACCCTATGTGATCAGTTACCATCAATACAATAACCCTATGTGATCAGTTACCATCAATACAATAACCCTATGTGATCAGTTACCATCAATACAATAACCCTATGTGATCAGTTACCATCAATACAATAACCCTATGTGATCAGTTACCATCAATACAATAACCCTATGTGATCAGTTACCATCAATACAATAGCCCTATGTGATCAGTTACCATTAATACAATAACCCTATGTGATCAGTTACCATCAATACAATAACCCTATGTGATCAGTTACCAT